TTGTTTGGCTTTAAATATCTTCTGTACTATCCACGAGGCTTCCTCAAAGAATTAACTAGCAACATTAAACAGTACAACTAACTAGTTCTTTCTGGAACACACATTTGCTTTATGTGTAAAGTAACTTCATTTCCTGGTGCTACAAAGTCACTCAAATCAATCATACGATAACACACACACACAAACACACACAAAAAAAAATCGTACGATAACACAGCACAAAATTGCAACAGAACATGGAGGCAATCGGTTTCATTAATAATATTAATATAAATAAGAGAAACAAGAGAAAAGATTGAGAGCATGTGTCACAACAAATGTCTCATGTCTGAATCCTCGGATACAGTGGGCGAAACTAAGAGTTTTTCACTAAGGAGTGCCAAAATAGAAAAAATTGATCACATGAAGAAACTAAGAGGATATATATATATATATATATATATATATATATATATATATATATATATATAGATAGATAGATAGATAGATAGATAGATAAATAATAATTTTACCTAACTAAATATTGTAATATTACGGCAAAGGGGTGTCAACCCTTGCTTATAGGTTGCTCCGCCACTGGCTTTGATACATGCACTCGACAATATATATGGTTTTATTTACCAAATGTGGAAAGGCGCACGAATACAATGTCACATCAACTATAGGTCGATCTGTAAACACATTTAACTTGTTGAATCATTTACACACGACTCACAATACTGCAGAATAGCATGCCAATGCTTCTGCTTCTGTTTGAGCTGCAATTCCATTTGCTATTTGGTGCTGACTCCTTCCAAACTATACCTGAGCTGCTGTGATCTATCCAAAATGATTTCAATAGAAGATAGAATAAGAGATATGCAGCAGATAACCTTCATGAGAAATATCTCTTCACTGGTTATGCAGCTGAAATTCTTCTCTGCTGGTGGTTCCACTAACCATTACTCTATTATAACGACAATTACAAACGAATCATATCATGTGTTACGGTGAAAAAGAAGTCTACTTTGTAAAGCAATAACAGAATTTGTTCATATATCTGGATCACCAAATAAGCATGCTTTACAGAGCACAAGTCTTGATGATACTTTGAATTTCAAGGATCCTTTGAATCCAGGTCCAAAGAAGCCAAATTCACCAGAAACAAAAGCCTAAAATTGTTATTGATATAAGCCTGGGAGGGGGACCAGAAACAGGCGGCTAGAGCATAAACCGAAACCAAAAGGGTCAAACTACTAGTGAAGAAACAACCTTGCTCTCCAATTTATTCGGATAGCTGATGCAGCTACAGCTACATCCCTGCGTTAACCTCTTTCATAAGGTCATACTTATCCAGGGATCACTCAGTCAAGATAAAAATACACTAGAACCACTTCCCGCTTGAGTGACTAGAACCCATCGCCTTGAATCGGTTGTTAAACCACTGATTCCAGATCGGCCATAGAAACCGTTAATCCACTAGCATTTTCAGATTCAGAGAACATGATTTCATCTGTCAGTTCTCTCAATTTCGAATAAATTTCACGGCAACGAGGATGTGATAGATCCTCTGCATTGAAAGCATGTACCTCGTTTTGAAGTTCTATCCAACTCCAACCAGGTACCTTACTGACACTCTTTTCCCTCATCAGCCTCTTAATATTAGCTATTTTATCCCACTTCTTGATTTGTCGGTACATGTCTGAGAGCAAAACGTAAGTGCTATGATCTCCCGGCTCCAATTCTAGCAAACGGCTAGCCACCTCACTTGCATATTCAATATCACCACATGACCGACAGACACCGAGTAGAGTTCTCAAAACCATCGCATCAGGATCAAATGGCATCCCTTTAACCAGCTCCTTTGCCTCCTCAAGACGTCCAGCCCGCCCAAGTAGATCAATTGCACAAGCATAGTGTTCCATTCTTGGAACAATTCCAAAATCAGCTTCCATAGATTTGAAAAAATGGCGACCTTCTTCAACGAGACCAATGTGACTACATGCAGTCAAGACTGCCACAAAAGTTATATGGTCTAGCTTCACTTCACTTTGTTTCATTAGGAAGAAGAGGTCAAGAACAAGTTTACCTTGTCCATGTTGTGCATAAGCAAACATAATCGAGTTCCAAGATATTGAACTCTCTTTAGGAGAAACTTCAAAGGACTTCCAAGCATCTTCAATGATTCCACAATTGGAATACAGAAGTATCAAAGCACTGCTAACATACGTATATGACTCGGATCTCAGTTTTAGTGCCAAGGCATGAATTTGTTGACCGAGTTGAAGAGTAGCCAAATCTGAGCAAGACCTAAGGGTGGCGGAAAAGCAATATTCATCCATTTCAAGGTGTTCCACCCTCATTTTCAAAAAAAAATTGAGAGCAATTTCACTCCAACCCTTTTGTGACAATCCGGTCAAAATGGAATTCCAAGAAACAGAATCCTTTACATCCAGGTTTCCAAATACTGTCAGTGCATCATCCATATAGTTTGTGCATGATTTGGCATACATGGAAATCAATGCATTCGAGATTATAGTTACATTTTCCAGTCCTCTCTTAATAATCAAAGCATGCAAACACTTTCCTTGACTGTTATATCTATCCTCGAAACAACCACTTATTATACTAGTATAAGTATAAGAATCCATTTCCAAGCCAAGCCTTTCCATGTCCAAGAATAGTTCAAATGCCTGCTTCTCCTCATCATGTTCTAAATAAGCTGCTAGCATTGAATTCCAAGTTACCAAATCTCTGCAACTAATAGTACCATCAAAAACAATTTGTGCACTTTCAATACTCCCACACTGGGAATATGCCGTGATTAGAGCATTGACCACTTTGACTTGACAACATAAACCAAGCTTTTCAACTTTTGCATGAACCTGCATTGTCAACTTGTAAAACCTTTCCTCATTAAGCAATGTTAAAAGCGGAGAGAAAGTGCCATCATCAAGTTGCATAGCCTCTTGCTCCATACCTCTCAACAACCAAAAACAATATTCTATATCACCCTTCCCTGCATACCCTGCTATTATAGCATTCCATGCGACATAATTACGTTCTGGCATGCGTTGAAACACTTTGTTTGCATCATCAACTTTGCCACACTTAGCGTACATGTCCAATAGAGCACTGGCGGAATAAACATTCCCCACATAGCCCATTTTAACCACATCACAATGCACCTGTTGGCCTAAGGACAATAAGCCATTAGAAGCAATACCCTTTAGTATGCTTCCAAAAGTATAGTCATTTAAGCAAAAGCCATGTTCTTTCATCAGATTAAGGAACAGCCAAGCACCATGAAACTTCCCAGAATTGACGTATCCAGAAACCATGATGTTCCAAGAAGCAGTATCTTTGTGGGGAATTTCGTCGAACAGCTTGAGAGCAGTACCAATCTCTCGGCATTTTGTGTACCCGTTTAAGATGTTAGTGGCAGTGTATGTATCGCTAATGCGTCCTAGTTTGGTAGCACGACAATGGGTAGCCGTTACTTTTGACAAGGTTGTCGCTGAGCTTTCAGCGAGCGAGTTCAATAGCCTCATTCATGAGTAAAGTAGTAAACTGTCCAAATGTTTGGGAGTCAACAAAATAAGCCTTCTATTCTATGAGCTCGTTATTTTTATTGAGCATCTAAAAACCCAAAAAAAAAAGAAGAATCAACCTAAATAGAGGTACTAGTGAACCTATTGATAACTTCTAATGAAGGTACTATGCTAGTAGTTGCTTGAGAAGTTTTATTTTGTGTCTCATACAACTGACACTAGTTGTATGAGACTCATTTTTGTCTCTCATACAACTGACACTAGTTGTATGAGACTCATTTTTGTCTCACAAGATTGTGGACCTCAATCTTACACTGCTGGGTCCACAGAATTCTGGGTCCATAAAACTGTGAGACAAAAAGTTGCCTCATACAACTAGTGTAAGTTGTATGAGACACAAAATAAAAATTTTCGTAGTTGCTTCTCTCTTTTTGCTAAAAATTTCTATAATACCAATATTTACATCAAACCATATCAACTTATCATAATTAAGTGATTCAATTAGATAAAAATATATGTTACACATGCTAATTGTGGTTGCATTGAGAAAATCTACTACTATATAGTAAAAGCTAGTTGCAGAGCCACATTGACGGACGGATGGTCAGTTGAATACCCTTGTCAAATATTGCATCGTGTATATAAAAGATTATACTACATATACAAGTGAAAAGTTACATTTTACATATCTTGAATACTCTTAGCGAAATTCTTTTTAATTTGAACAAAAGCAAACATATATTATATTTGGTTACATGTATTGATTCTAAATATTCGCGTATTGATTTGAAATATTCTCACTAACTTGGAGATTATTTTAGGTAAATAATTTTTTAAATCGTTTTCAGTATTTAGTTGGGTGTAAAAACACATCACGTAGATGATATGATATGAGATAGTGTTAAGGTTACATTTTTTTTTATGTATAAGTATCAATTGTAGTTGTATAAAGTAAGAGTAGAAACATTGTAAACTAAGATGTCCTTTTTCATAAGGATCGAGAACAATATTTTTCTTAGCGTAAATTTTCACGATTGAGGACAATTACACACTGCAATGATCTCCCAAAGATAACATTTTGCGGAGAAACATTTTCTATCATATAAAAATGGTAATTTATACTAATAATCGGAGCTTGATAACTATATTCTTTTATCATATTAATCAACTATTAATCACGTGCTAATTCTTTTATATTATTGCATATCAACTTCAATGTGGGATGGCAATACTAGTATAATAACAATAAACTACAGAATTCCATATAAAATTATAAAAACGCCATTGAACTATTATTTATTTAATTAGCATCACATACATGATTTGAGGTAATTACATATTTCCATTAAGTATAAACTAATTTTTATTCAAATATGAAAATTTGATTATTACTATTAATTTATGGTAACTTTTTGTTACAATTATATTTTACAGTAAAAATAAATAGTCTTGACTATTTGCAGGTAGCACGTGACTTGTAACCCAAACCCAAACAGACCAAAACCCCAGTTCGGGTTCTCTTAGAGGGTTTTAGGGTCACTACCAAATCAATATTCGATTTCTTCCCTTCACTTGCTTCGCCGTGTTCAATATTTTGATCCACCCTTTATCCTATATATGTGCGTTTAGTTCATCAATTTAGTCGTAGTAGAAACCATTAAAAACCTTAGATTTCAAAGATGCAGCATGTGAGGAGAAGCGGGGTTTCTTTGAAAACTAGGTGGTGGTCTAATGTTGTAAAATCAAGCAACAAGTTTGATTCTTTGTTGGAATATATGCCTTCTAGAAGCTTATCTGATTTGGGTATAAGTCGTTTCTCGTCTATGGCTGCTGAAACTGCTGCTTTCAATGTTTCTGTCAAAAGGGTATGTCAAGTTCTGCTTTTTTCTTTAAATTTTTGCATTATTGTAATTAAAAGTTCCTTTTTTTTTTGGATATATTTGAAGTTTATCTTTTGAACCTATCTTGTGCTTGATGATTTTGATTGATGTTAAGGGTTTCTTTGTCTCTACTGTTATTTACTGTGATTAGAATGAGTTGGCAAAAAAGTTGTTCACTTTCTTCTCATATGCTGAATAGAAAGAGTAGCTGTAGAAGATAATTGCTAGAGTTTATGCGTCGATAAGGTTATATCCTAGTGCACCACAGTTTCAGTTTGACTCCTTAATGAGCTTAAATACTTGAAGGCCCTCTCTATGCATTTGCTTTTCTGACATTTAGCTGTTGTCATTATCAGCTTAACCTTATGATTGCTGTGCGAAGTGGTTGAGTTCTGTATGGTCATTATAGCACGTAGTGCTCCCCAATGTATGTTTAAGTCGGAAATTCAGATCAAGCATCAAAGTTTGACTAATTCAAGAATTCAGCAAGAAAATCCACAGATATACCAAACTAGTTCAAGTCCCTATTTGTTTATAACCGAGAATTCCCTATGAGTTAGCTGGCCGAATTCCATTGGCACGCAGATCTGGAACTTGAGGGAGTATGGGCCCTGTCCGTTTACCCTGCTCCCACTTAACTACTAGGCTTCAGTCAGTGGCAGAATTTGAACTAGTGACATGCGTCTAACCATACTCCTACATTCCGTCTTTATCACTGAATATAAGCTCTGGAAGCTACTCTAATCCCCATTTTGATACTTCAGAATTCAAATTCTCTTTTTGGTTCAACATTTAAATCTAGAAACCTTAGAAATTTTATATTCAATATGCACTTTAGAGGTTTTAGCTAGCTCAGAAAGTTATTTACTCAGTATCGGGCAATTCTGCCTACTAAGGCTTAAGCAGATGGGAGGAAATCACCTGGTGCTTTTTGCATCTGTTGATATTAGAACCTGAGACTCATAGTTCTCCTTCCACTTCATTGACCACTAAACTACACCTTGAGTGCCATTTTCCAATATTAATTGACTTTCGGATAGAAACTGGTGTTTCGTCAAGGGTTGTTCTTATGAGCTTGCTTTGACCCTTTGACATAATTTTCAATCAAAGGGGGACCTTTACAATAATTAATCTTAGTTCAAACTCAGGCAACATTATTGTTACGGAAAAATAGATTGATTAAAAATAATTACTAGCAAAGATCACCTGGCCCTTTTGTACTCATGTAGGTAAGGAGGGAGGGATGTCAATTTGAATGGCAGGCTCGACTTTATTTATGGCAAAAAGGAAATAATTGATGAATTTTACAATCATTTGAAAGTAGCAAAAATAAGAGCTGTGAATGTGAATTGAAACTCTTATCTTGTTTGAAACTTTTGGCATGCTTCAAGTTTATGATCTGAAACTGCTGATCAAATTTTTTCCCAGTTCTCGACTTTCAAAATGATGTTGGATATATTCTTCTTCTATTCGTTCTCTGATTATGATGTACTTTCAGGAACTGGTAAGATCAGGTTGTGCAAGGAGACATGCTTCTTATCCTGCTGCGAAGGTGAGTTGAAATGTCTTGCTACTTTGGTGATCCTAAATCTTTGTTGGCTGCCTATTGACAACTTTTGTCCCCCAAATATTGATTTTGCAGGTTATCGATGAACCTGCTGGTGAGTAGAGCTACATTCGTATTGAAATCTCAAACTGAAAAAGAACAATTTGGATCTCAACAAGATTTTGATCTCCCAAGAATCTAAATTTAGGATTAGTTCATTTCTCTTCATTGAGTGGAGCTTGAGTCTGCTTTAACATCCATCCGTTCAGTGGTTTATGTTCTTCATTTGTATTCACGTCAAACAGATTCTTCTAGCAATTTGAATGATCATAAATATATGCTATTGTGTGTTTCATTCCTCGAGAACTTTAAGATGATGATTTTGAACATTTTGGTATAGAGAAAGGTTTTTGTTTTCCATAAGAAAAAGGAGATGCCTTGCTTGACTCTAAATGTTGTGGACTTGCTATCTACTTATGTCGGGGCAAAGGGAGAAAGGGTTTAAATAGAATGTTCTGCATCTATGTTTCTATACTTTTGAAGTACTGATATTAGTTTTATGTTGGACTTCTGTATTATCATGGCTGTGCCTGACAATTGTGGCACTCGTTAGAAGTGATCAGTACTTTGAATTATACCTTTATGCTTTCAGTGGAATCATTTCCTGTTGAGATATTTAGAAAACTACATAGGTACATTCATGCATTTTCTTATTGTAAGCTCTTGCGTCTGACCATGTAATTGCTGAAAATTGCTGTATTCAGTCTCTGCCACTATCTTGTATCGATGCAACAGGGATTTTATTATTTCTCTTGGAGCATATTCTATGGTAAGAAAAGTACTCAGACGTAGATCTTGCAGGACTTCCTGTTCTATACAGAAACCGAAGGAGTACACAATGCTTAATGACCTTTAGATCGTCGTTTCAGCTTGTCAATACCGCTGGCGTAAATCCTGAATCATCTTGCTTTGCTAGATCATTTGCATCAAAGGCTTCTGGGTCGACACAAAAGCAATCAGAGGTTATTTCGGTCTCTAAATCATGCATATATGTGTCTTCCCTTTTTGTGTTTTTAGATTAAAAAGGGGGAATTTAGCAGATGGGCAAACGAGAATAAAATGTGCTAAGGACCACAATTAACTAATTCCCTAACGAACCATGAATTACGTTAACAATACAGTTGGGATTTGAACAACCAAATTTAGGTCCAAGTCCAACTTACTTATAAAAAGTGCAATCTTGAGTTATAACCTTTTGTTTTACCTCCCAATAGCAATATTTTTCATTAAATGCATCTCAACTTAAGAAACATGTGATTCCAATTATCAAGGTATTTTACTATTTTAACCTTGCCAATTTTCTCTAACTTGAGAAACAATTATTTCCTTAGTTAAGTAGATTGATATGATCTAACGAAGCCTACCCTTAGTGAATTGGTTATAAGCTAGTGGTGAACCGGAACTCATTCCCGTTCCACAAAGCAAAGCTATCCACAACAAGATTTCCTTGAAAGAACAAAATGGACTAACAAGAATGTATGCTGTTCTACTAAAGCCTCTAGTTTGTTGCAGTTCTCCCAGTTCTACACTCCCTAAAAACCATTACTTCAAACAAACAAGAAAGAATGTTTTCTTCCAGGCAAGTCAACTAATGTATATGGGTCCCAATGTTCTCATATTTCTTTACCATAAGCACCATTTTAGAGCCAAAGGAGCTGCATGCTGTACCGGTTTACCTTCCCTTATCTTCCTGAAATCTTATACCTGGTTGTTAGAAGCTCATTCAACGAGAAAGAGTCACTATAGCTTCCACCAAAATATCAAAAGGTCCCGTGAGAAGATCATTTTTAAAGAGAGAAAGTCACAATAGCTTCCTCTAAATTTGGATCTTTTCCACAACTTAATGCAAATTGCAGAAGGAGATGCATATGAGGTCCAGTCATGTGCATCAATCATTAGCCTTTGTTGGTGTGCACCTCCAACAAGTCATTCCTGCTATGTTTTTTTATAAACCAAAGACCACATAAAAGGTTTTACTTTTTAAGGCAGTTTAACTTTCCAAATAAGTGAAGTTAAAGGGAGAGGAGGGAAATTTTCAGCGTTCGCCGGGAAGGAGAAAAACCTTCTTGAGCAGACACCTCCTACTTTTGGACCGTGTAGTGTTTCTAGAGCTAGTGAACTAGATGATGATGCATAACACAGCTCTATAGTGCAACTGCTATTTCTGTTACGTTCATTGCCAAGTCTGTCAAGTTGCTATCGGGTAAACAAAACTAATTTTTTTGCACAGCATGGTTGTTGGTCTTTTGTATTTCTCGTAGTAGAAGATTTATGACTTATTGAATAAAATTTCCTGTCTGAAACCTAGTTAATGTGGATAGCCCAGGATCTGCCTAATCAGAATTTCTGTTAGTTAATTACCAAAAAAAAAAAAATGAATTTCTGTTAGTTTTAGCTACTATTTTTCCCTACTGGTATGCATATCTTATATTTTAGGTATATACGGGATCTCTCTCTATGTGGTCGTTTGGTTGGACTGTTGGAAGGATCAGAGAAATAATCCAAGCATAAAATTTATAATGTGTTTGGTTAGAGGGATTAAAAAAATATTTCATGTATGAATGTATGCATTCATTTGGTTGGTCGCATATGAAAAAATAAAGCCTGGATAATTTTTTGCAGCATTTGGTTGATGTGTTAACTAATACCTGCATTAAATTATACAGGACTGTACATATTATTTTATGCGGGATAGAATATGAAATAAAATATACTCCATGTATGTATTAGCAATAGGGGCATTAAAGTATTTAAAGGCAAAAATGCCCTTAAAGTAAGTAATCCCTGCATAACAATCCCTTCATTATTAACAATTCCTTCATTATTAATCATTGCATAAGAGAAAAAGCATGTGGTACCTGTAAATTAGGTTATTGCTTGAGCGCTTACAACGCCATAATATGTTGATGTATTGTCTTAATATAATACTGAAAGGCCCTGTTCCAAAACATAATTTCAATGAGAATTTTTCAAAACTTTTACAACATTGTAAAGGTCCTTATTGTATTGATGTGGTGTCCTTATACAAGTATACACCATTGGAAAGGTGTGACCCCAAAACATGAATTCAATGAGGAGAAGAAGCATGAGACTGAACCACATATCTATTCTATGCAGTTACACCATTTTGGTATATATTGAGGAAAATTATCGCAGAAATATATAAAACTGGGAGATTACCCTTGAAGTATAGCTCCCAATATGACAACGAATGCATTTCTTTCTTGTCCCACTTGTACAGGCTCGAAAGGATGTATCTACTGTTGAGGATCCCTTTGATGCTCCTACCTACAATATTCCAGAGAAGCCCGTGACATTTACTGAGGGAGCTTCTTATAGCCTTGTCATTCTTGCCGGACTTGCAGTTGCTGCTGGTGCAGCATATGGAGTTTTTAAGGAACTCATTTTTCAGCCAAAAGAGTAAGGGTTGCATTTACGCTCTCTAAGTAGTTTGACATAAACCTTGAATTCTTCTTTTTGTCAATCTAGCTTAAAGTAATTTTCTTGTAGGTACAAAATTTTTGATAAAGCTCTCAAGAGGATTCAAAATGATGGTCAAGTATGTTCCTAGCCCCTAAAATCCTTACCGTTAATTTACTACATATAATTTTTGGATTGAGTTGTAGACTGGATGACAGCTGCGAGGCTGCACTTAAAGATCTTATTTCCTAAGTACCAACTGGGGCAGTCTTTACTGGCTTGCTGAGTCGTACGAGTAGATAGAGTTCATACTTAGCACTAAGTCTGAACAATCTGTTTATTATGTATTTTGATTCTGGTTGTACTTGAACTGATCAGTTGCATGTGTATGCTATTCTTTACGCCAGGTTAGTGTAAGAATTGGATCCCCTGTAACAGGCTATGGATCAGAAAGTAGAAATCGTGCTGCACGCCAACGCATCCCCAATAGGATATGGACTGATGAAGACGGAGTTGAGCATGTTGAGGTGACTATTTTTTCTTATGATCCCTATCCTTTTGATTCTTTCTCTTCCCGAGCTCAAGCTTGCACATGTTGAATGTTTGCTTGGTGTTACTTCTACTTTCTCCAATATATATTTACGTTTATGTGATTAAACTGAGTGTAGGTCAATTTTTATATCCGAGGACCACATGGAGCTGGCAAGGTTTATACCGAGATGTTTCAGGACAAGGTGGATAGGCAGTGGAAGTTCACATACTTGATTGTTGAGATCAAATCACCGTCCCCAGCTCAGTTGATGCTCGAGTCGTATGTACCTGCCTGAATATCCACATAAGTATGCAGTGCATGTTTTCATAAACTCCTAGATGCGGTTGATAATGCTCCAAATTCTTTTCAACTCGCGTGAGAGCTCTCAAGATGACACATCTGATTTCAAGTTCTTTTGGTTGAACCATGGACTGATAATAGTTAGCTTTGCTAAGAAAATTTAGAAAGTTTACTTTTTGTGCATCATAAGGAAGTTGCAAGAAAAGCTATTAATTTATTTCCCATGGAAGACTTTCTTGCAGTTCAAATCCGAAGAAATTTTGAAATGAAGTGATTTTCCTCTCTCTCTCTCTCTCTCTCTCTCTCTTCCTCTTTTCCGCTTTTCTTTTNTAAGTAAGTAGTACTTACTTCTCTCTCTCTCTCTCTCTCTCTCTCTCCCCCCCCCCCCCCCCCCCCCATCCGCATTTCTAGTCTCCCTTTTAAATAGTCAATTACAAGTTTCTATCTTATGTTTACTTTATATTTCTGCAATTTTTTCAAGAAAACATTTTCTAGCAATATTTGATATCCAACGTCAGGCTAATAGAACTTAGGATTAGATTTAGGCGCTTTAGATTTCATAGCCAATTAGTCATCTACCCGAAGGTTCAACCCATATGGCCTAAGATCAAGTTACAAAGCGCAAAGCCCCAGGAATAACTTGAAAAGGGGCCTTTTATGTGCCTATGCCTGTCATTTGATTTTCCACTTGGCCGAGCCCTTGTGAAAAAGTGTAGCATATTCCCATGTCCTAAAAAAAAGTACTTAGTACACCGGTAAGCCAATACAACAATAATCTAAGCATCAGTTCCAAATAAATTGGGGTCGGTTATAAGAAGCCTCATGCTTCATTTTAGGAAAACTTTATCATGTGTTCAGATGCTCAATTGGAACATGTCTTCTTAGTTCGACTGTCTATATGAAAGATGCTCAATTGGAACATGTCTTAGTGACTGTCTGAATGAAAGATACTGGTGAGTTCAAGGGGTTATCGATATATTCGGCCTAAAAAGAAATGCCATATGCGTGTATGAATGCATACTGAGTGAGAGAGGGAGAGAGATTTTAAATCTTTTAAAGATAATGCACATCAGACTTAATGAGTAAATCTAGAGATAGTTGGTCACTGCCGAGGCACTCAAACAACGCATCTTGTAGGGGGGAAATAAAAGCAACTGAGACCTAATGAATATTGAGTGACTAAATTGGTTTACACCCACTTTGCTTCCTCAATCTTTTACATTACACCTGCGTGAAAGAGATTCGACTTTTTTTAAGTTAAAAAGGAAAGAGAAGGTATCAACAAGTTAGCCAGCTGCTACTTTCTCTTACATGTATCAGAAACTAATATGATACAATATTGCAGTCTATAGTTGGAAAAATTTATCTGGACATAATGCCTTAATTTATCACATTAAACTGATAAATTGAAGTAAGAATACATATAAAAACACATATCATGTACTTATTATTTTCGGTACGTGCACTGGGTGATAAGTATTTTCCACGACAATAGTATTTCTTAGTCCATCCAACATGAAAAAGCTTTAGCTGAATGGAAAGAGGAACATGCTACAGTTACAACTTACAAGCACCAAGAAAAATGTAGCATAGCTGAATGAGAGGTGACAGAAGAGGGTGACTAATCTATCAGCTAAAGCTGCCATTCCAGCAAATGTGTGAAGTCACTTGGGTTAAGATTGAAAAGTTGCCAGCCTCAAATGCTGAAATCGTTAATGGGTGGGGTACCCCTTTTCAGCTATGTGCTCCCTTGGAATGATTTTAGCAAGAAACTACACAAAGATGGATAATCTTCATTCATCAACATTCTATAGGCTACGGATTCAGTGCTCAAAATACTTAGTCATCCCGTGCCCTCCGTGTTAACCCAAGTCCAGTTCTTATACTTGCCCCAACAGCCTTCATGTCTTCCACCTACGTGTTTCACAACCAATAAGTGCTCACAATTTCAAAACTGAAAATGAAGGACGGAAGGAGATATATTTGATAACTACTGACTTAAACAAAATAAATCAGGTACATCATGTTCTAACTAAGATCATGCTCTTAGTACTAGAACCTACAAGATGAAATTAATCCTAGGCGCTATTATAAGAATACGTTGCCACTTGCCACTAGTCGAGAATACTACATTGAAGCGCCACCTTATACTGGATGAAGTTATTAGGTATAGTTTTACAGCTGAACTAAATCTAATCTTTTTCCTGTAGGACTCCATTCATGTATAAGCAATTTATCTCCTTCTTCCTACGCTTAAAAGTGATAAGGTCTGCCCACGAGCTTTATGTGGACAAACATCATAGCCAAGTTACTAGCACTTCATATTAATAAAAAACATAGGGTTCCGATTTTCCGATCTAATGAAAACTGGACAGGAAGGATCGTTTTCTATGATTATATGACCTATTGAAAAGCATAGAGAAAAAGAAAAACAGAACAAAATTTCCTACTATGTAAAATTCTACAAAATTTCAATGTGCGCGCAACAGCACAGTTAACAAAAATAGGACTAAACAATGTTTCCGTGACACAACCACCACAAATGAAGAGAGATAACAGTGTAAGAAAAACAAGGTACTTCCGATGATGAACATGTCCAAATTTGTTACATGCTAAAAGCATCAACTTATTTCTACTTTCTAAGACCACCACCAATAGCAACAATAACAACCCTCAATCCAAAGTAAATCATTTTATAGACTAATGTTACTCAACCATCCTTCTAACTGTTGCTTCGATTCATAGCAGGCAGTGGACCTCTCGCTATTTCCATCTCGTGGCATACCAGCTATTGTATCACTTAATCCACATTGGCACTTAATAATGCCTAGGTAGAATAAAAAAGCCATAGGAAATAATATTCAGGCAAGTTTCCTAACAAAAGTATTCCTGCCTAGTTTGAACCGGATAGGCTGAATCAATCTACCATAAGAGCAAGCAAAACATATGTAGCAGACAGTTATACTATGACCAACTTGAGCATGATATATCTACATGAAATTGGATGTTATGCAGAATTTTTCTCCTCCAAATATATCTATAAGCAGAAAAAATTGCATCACTGGAACAGGGTTGTGCAATGTCAACCAAGCACAAGGAGAGGCAGCTATCACGATTTATTCCCTGTGATGCAAATACATTTCATCCTGACCTGTAATTGGAGAAGTTCTGAATGCCTTATTAATAAGCCTAGGGCATAAAAACCTTGTCAAGCATTTCAGATGATTAAAAGTCAGACCCTAATTTCCCAAAAAAGCTTGAATTCTTACTACTGGATGTTCTATACTCTAAAATTTTCAACTTCAAAACGAAAAACCCCAGAAGTATTGATTCTTCGCCTAGACATATGTATAAAGGAAAATTATATAACTTCAAGCATAAAGGAAACACATGAGAACTTAATTACACTCATGTAACACTTTATTTCAACCTTATGAGTACTCTCTTCACCCCAAGTTATCCCATGCTCTTTCCTTTTCAAAAAACGTCCTGAAGTTTTTTACACTATTCCATTTGTATACAACTTTCAAGAATTAAAATTCATTAAACTATTCAGATTCTATAATGTCAGTACAACAAAAGGGAGATATTTTTCAAATGGCACTCAAAAAAATGTCAATTAAATCCAAAGTGACTCCACACAAAATAGTCTGTCTAATTTAGTCAACTAAAGTCCTACGATATGCTAATAAATGACAAAATTTCTTCAGTGTAACAAAGTGGTAAGAGAGAATTTACGGAGCGGACGCCGGCGGCTTGAAGAGAGGCGATGGAGGCAGAGGCGATGGCGCCGACGAAAAGCGAGGCGATGCCGAAGGCTTTAAGCGGCATCAGTCGACATTCACCGGCGTAACCTTTTCTAAAAGCGTGAATTCCCCATACCAACTGCCCTGTGCTTGCGGCGGCCCACCACCGGTGATGGGCTGTGCCGCCACCAGCGTTGATGACTTCGTTTTGGTTCATTTCCGCTTCATCGTGTTCGATCGCCGTCGTATTTGTAAGGAGCTAATAGTTGCTTTTGCGCTTGTTCTGTGGGCTTTTGATAGTGGAAGTGACACCAGATAGCCACTTTTAAGCATAATGTTTAAAATATATTTATAGTTTAGGATATATTTAAAGACTATTTTATTTGGCTCAAATTTCAGGATACAACGTTCTAGAATTTAAATCTCAAAGTTCAAACTTTAGGACATCGTATCCTTTAGTTCGAAAATTATGTTCAAAATTTTAAATTTTATGTCCTAAATTTTAAATTAGTAATTCAGAAATTCAAAATATTTAGTCCTGAATTTTAAATTAGCAGCTTAAAAATACAGGACACTAAGTCATGAATTTCTAAATTTAGGATACTTAGTCCTGAAGATTGGGAATTGGCTAATCTTTAAAAATATTTTAAATTGTGAATATATTTTAAATAGGGGCTCAAAAGTGACTATTGATGCACTTTGCCCCTTTTCATATTAGGCTCTTTTGTAGTAGAATATGACAGAAATAGGACATACATGTCTTTAATTTCTTACCTTTAGGGCAAACCTTTAAGGTCAAAAGTTAAAAATTTGCTAAATTTAAAGTGTTGCTTATTGATCAGGTGACATGTCCCAAAGTTAAAAGTTCAAGATCAATTTCTTTGAAGGTTATTTGTGTCATTAACTCCTTTTGTTGGTGGGTGATTTATAAGAATGACGTGCATGATCTTGAAATTTTGACCCCGTTTCAAATTTAAAAAGTTCTGCACATTTTTTTGCTTTTGGAAATTTATCTATAGAACAAGGGGGGTCAAAAGCTTAAGACCATCGATTCCCAAGCTCATTGGTCCTTCCTGTTTGTTGGTCCACCATAGAAACAAGCTTTGGGCCCATTTAAACTTGCATATCCTTTTCTTTTTCTTACTGGTAGTAATATTTTGAGGAATTTTCAGAAACCACTATTGTTTAGTGGCTATTAACTATAGCTATTTTATGCATAATTATTTTCTATAACTATTATTCAGTTGTTACGGTAGTGTATTCGATGTATTTGCGTTTCCGTATACAGCAGCAAAAAGCGCCTAAAAATCAGGGCAGTGCAGTTGTACGCGCATGTATTCACATGTATTCGCATTGTTGTATTCATGAATACAACAGTAAAAAGCGCCTAAAATCAGGGCAGTCCAGCTGTACGAGCATGTATTCACATGAATTCGCACTGCTGTATTCATGAATATAACAGTAAAAAGCACCTAAAATCAGGGCAGTCCAGCTGTACGCGCATGTATTCACATGTATTCTCGCTGCTGTATTCATGAATACAACAGTAAAAAGCATCTAAAATCAAGGCAGTCCAGTTGTATGCGCATGTATTCACATGTATTTGCGCCATGTATTCATGAATACAGTAACGGCAATCACCTTAAAAATAGGTATGTCCACCTATCTAAGAGCGAGGATAAAACATAAATAGCGTATTTCATGCCTTATTTCATGCCTCAATGGTAGTATATACCATAAATACTTATTTTGCTATAAAATATAAAAGGTAGCTATAGAAAATAATATTTTAAAATAATTTTTATTTATAATAAATAGGGTGTATACCTTTGCTTTAGGAGGTAAAATTTCCTAATATTTTTGGGTCTCTTAGTCGATAGTGAGAAAATTGCGGATAATGTTTGATTGTTTCTTCTTTTTCCTTCTTTTTGAAGACTTCACCCAAATAACAACTCACCCAACGCTTAAACTAAAAGAAGGCAGCGAATATATAATATATGTAGAATCCATATATAATATGTGTAGCATTATATATAATCAATGTATAATTTATATACTGGCTAAAAAAAATAAATAGTAAATATAGCCGGCTATTTGTGTAAATATAGCCGACTTTTCTTTTTCCTCATATAATCAATAGTGAATATTACGTTCCTAAAGGTGTTTATCCGGGGAAATTTAAGATTTAAAAAAAAAAAATCTTTGAACTCTTTGGTCCAAAACATGCTATAAATATTTTTGTGATTATAAAATTTAATCATTAAGGCGAAAAAATAATATTATCATTCTTTTTTAAACCAATAAAAGTAAACGTGTCACACAAGAGAGTTCTGCGAGTAAGAAATGTTTTGATTGAACAATAATGGGGCAATATACACCAGTGCTAGTACTCGTTATTATCTGATTTAAACTCAAAAAGGTTAGTTCGTTGTAATTAGAAAAAAAATAATAATCAAATCTGTAAGAAAAACTTAGGAAAACAATATAAGTCCTTAAATTTTTGCTTTTATTTTGTATACATTGTGCATTTACTCCATTCCACCATTACTATCCATCAACCATTTACCAGCGCTAGCTAAGATTTCTCATTAGAGATGAATTTTCACAAATGGCTATATAATTATAATTTTTTTTTTTACCAAAGTCATATAACTTTATTTTTCACACAAAAATTATAGTGACCGGAAAATACAATTTTTCACTAGTATTTTTTATTCCATGCTATTTTAATTTTATTTTTGTATAATAAATAATAATTCAATTAAAATAAGAATGACCCAATCCAACCTGACCCTCCCCCCGACCCAATGCCATATATATAAAAATTAAAACAATACTAAAAGTGAATCCTTCAAAATACGATACTTCTATCTTTATTTTTTTTTCAATATATTCTTTCAAATTGATAGCATGTTTGTTGTAAGTGCTCTCTAATTATACCTTTAATTTCTTCTTTTTTTGTCAGAATCTCATGCATTCCAAACTAGTTTTTTGTGAGGGAATGATTCAATTGTACTATTCTTTTAGTTTATGTAAATGTGTATTGGGTGAGGTTGGGTTGGCTCATTCTTATTTTAAGAGAAAAATATAAAATTGACCGGTCAACAGAGACTAATTGCATTCACTAGCCAAAAAATATATAGAATATGTGCGCGCGCGCGCGCACACACACACACATATATAATTTTCTATTTTAATTGGGTTATTATATATTAGACTAAAAATAAAAATAAAAACCTAGAATAAGAAAATATTACCGGATTTTCCTGTCATCATAATTTTTGCGTGAGTTAGAGAAAGTTTTATGATTTTTGTGCGAGAAAATAAAGTTATATAACTTTGATGAAAAAAAAGTCATAATTATATACCATTTGTGAAATTTACCTTGGAATTTCACTATATAAAAGCATCATCAATATTTTGGTTGTGGATCGAAAATAACGCGATACTAATTTTGCAATGTAAGTTTACAGAGTAAAAGATGACATGGATCTCTCTGTTTTACATGACATGCTAAAATACAAGTAGTTCAGCGGTGCAAAGACGAAAATCTTGAAAACTATAAAACATTTTCATAAAAAGCTACCTCTGAGAGCTTATCTTCAGAGGCGGATCCAGCATTTAAATTCTATGGGTTCAATTTTAAAGTTTTTAGCATTGAATCCGTTATATTTTTAAAGTTATGGGTTCAAATCTACTATTTTTGTAATTTTAATAAATTTTTACCCCGCGTCGAAAGTAATGGTTCAGTTGAACCCATAAGTAATACGCTACATCCGCTGTTCAACCAAAAATTTACCTTTTGATCAAAGTCTGATTTTAGAAGAAAACGGGTTACTGATAACCAAGTTTTACTTCACTCTCTTCACGATATCAAAGGAAAATAATAAGAATAACTAAGGAAATAATTGATTGCAAAGTCAAGGTAGAGAGTTTCGAGAAAGCAGAAAAGTAAAGTGTATATTTCAATAGTGTCTTAGATCTGTCCTTACAAATAGAATTTTGTGCCCTTATATAAGAATATACAATAGTAACGGTTTTTCTCTCATAATTTGGGTTAATTATGGGCATTAATTATATTGATTGCCCATTATTTTGGACATCTATAACTGACGTATTTATTGCTATAAATGCCTCATATTCATTCCGATTCTCATTCCTTATTTCCTTCCGATTCATATATCTTTCCTACTTTTATTATTGAGAAATTTTCATAAAGCATTATCTTTTAGTAGTAATTAGCCATCTATAGATACCATTTGCTATATTACGGATTATAGATACATTTTCGGTGGTTATAAGATGTATTTGATGTATTTAAGCTATTGTATTCATGAATACAGTAGCAAAAATAGGCGTGAATCAGGGAAGTCCAGCTAATCAGTTGTTGTATTCGAGCGTATTCGACTGCATTCATGGAGTAAAACATGGGATTACAGCTGGACAGATTATTGTATTCACCGCGTGAAATAGGGGATTACACTATTTTTAAAACGGAAAGTGAATCAATTAACATAATAGACTCCTAATATAACTCAACAAACTTAATTATAACACACAAATTTTGTATTTTCAGTTATAAAAAAGATTCTCAACCGAAAAATACCCCAAAAACATAGCAATCTTCAGAGAAATTATATAATACATCTTAATACATAAATTATATTAATTAAAAAAATATATGAATACATTCATGGCATATAGCGAGACAATGAATACAATTAAATACATAGAATACAGCGGGATACATTGAAATAAAATGAAAAAAAAGACAGTGAATACAATGAAATACATGGAATACAACGTGATACGTTGAAAATACGTTGAAATATATTAACAGAAAATCAAGTTGCTCAGTCCCAAAATCCGTCGTCTTTGTTCAAGAACAAACCCTAATTTCCAGCTACTCCTATTGCAGCAGATGCAACAACAACGTCAGAAGCAGCAACAACAACAGGAAGCCATGGCTTGTTTCCCTTCTAACATCGACGTTCATCTCCGTCCTCAGCAGCTCCTTCACCATCCGGAGTCAAATTCTCTATTTAGTACTTACAATTGGGCCTTTGGGGTTAAGAAATCGTTTTTCCCCATTTTTGAATTTGGGAATTGAGATAACCAAGTTCAAATCTGATGGAAAATCTAGGAGATAAAAGGAGAGAGAGAGAGAGAGAGAGAGAGAGAGAGAGAGAGAGAGAGAGAGAGAGAGAGAGAGAGAGAGCCGTACAACTGGATTTCACCGGAGAGGAGGAGGTTCCCAAATCCCAGCCAAGAGAAGTGGTGGTCGGTCAATGAATCCGGTATTAT